CAAGATTGATCATATCCTCAGCCATAAATCAAGCATAAAGAAATTCCATAATGTTGAACTATTGCCATGCACCTTCTCAGACCACAGTAGAATAACAATAAGTATCAACACCAACAGAATTTCCCCAAACCCACAAAAACATGAATACTAAATAGCATGATGCTGAACAACTACTGGGTCAACATCAAAATCAAAACAGAAATTAAAAGATTGCTGGAAACAAATGAAAATGAAGAAACATCTTATCAAAACCTCTGGGACGCTATGAAATCAGTTCTAAGAGGGGACTTTATATCTCTACAAATACACATCAAGAAAATAGAAAAAATCAAAGGTTAACAGCCTAATACATCACCTAAGGGAGTTGGAAAGACACAACCAACAAAACCCTAACTTTAGTAGAAGAATCCAGATCACCAAAGTAAATGCCCAAATATGGAACATAGAAGACAAAAATATCAAAGAAAAAAAATCAACAAAACAAAAAGCTGGTTCTTGGAAAGAATTAACAAGATTGATGGGCTCCTAGCCAGAATGACCATGAAAAAGATAGAAAAAGCCCAAATAAACATATTCAGAAATAGAAAAGATAAAATTACAACTGACTCAGAAGAAATTCAAAAGATTATCAGAGATTACTACGCACACCTGTATAGAAACAAACTTAATAACCTAAATGAAATGGAGAACTTTATAACATCACACAACCTCCCAGGGTTAAAACACGAAGACATTGAGATTCTAAAAAGACCAATAACAACCCAGGAAATTGACTCTGTCATAAGAAAACTACCAAAAAAAAAAAAAAGCCCTGGACCAGATGGTTTCCAGGAGAATTCTACAAAATGTACAAGGAGGAGCTGATACCAGTCCTACTGAAAGTATACCAGGCAAGTGAGAAAGATGGAATTCTCCCTAAATAATTTTACGAAGTTAACATCACACTGATACCCAAACTGAGTAAAGATCCAACAAAAAAAGAGAACTACAGGCCAATATTCCTAATGAATACAGATGCAAAAATTCTCAATAAGAATCTAGCAAATCGGCTCTAACGACACATCTCAAAAATCATCCACCATGACCAAGTAGGATTCATGGATGCAGGGCTGGTTCAACAGCTGCAAGACCATAAAGGTAATTAAATACATAAACAGATGTAAAAACAAGAACCACAGGATTATATTGTTAGATGCAGAAAAAGCTTTTGATAAAATTCAGCATCCCTTCTTGATAAAAACCCTCAAACACCTAGGTATAGAAGGAACATACCTAAAAATAGTAAGTGCCATCTACGATAAACCCACAGCCCGCATGTTGCTAAACAGATAGAAACTAGAAATATTTCCCCTGAAAACTGGAACAAGACAAGGCTGCCCACTCTCACCTCTCTTGTCCAACACACTGAAAGTCCTAGCTAGAGCAATTAAATGAGAGAAGGAAATCAGTAGTTTCCAAATAGGAAAAGAGGAAGTCAAGTTATCCTTCTTTGTTGATGATATGATCCTATACCTCGAAAATCCAAGAGAATCTGTAAAAAACTGCTTGCATTGATAAAGGACTTTGGCAAAGTCTCGGGGTACAAATAAATGTCCATAATAACACAAGAAAAGAAATTTAAAGTATATCGACTGTAAAGGAAAAAGTAAAACCAGCTTTTTTTGGCATAGAACATGACTATCTATGAAGAAAATCCCAGAGATTTCTACAAAAAGCTACTAAAAAATCTACAAAAAGCTTCTAAAACTTATCAGTGCATTTAAGATTCCAGGATAGAAGTTCAATACACAAATTCAATTTTTTTGGTACTAGAATTGGTCAATTGGAAAGTGAAATAAAAATGCCATTTATAATAGCCTTCTATCCATGAAAGAAATTAAAGAAGACCTACATAAACAAAGAGATATATCATGTTCATAGAGAGGAAGACTCAACATTATTGAGATGTCAATTCTAATTTATCAATTTGGTGCAATCCCAATAAACATTCTAGCAGGGTTTTTTTTTTAAAAAAAGAAATTGATATGCTGATTTTAAGATTTATATGAAAATGTAAATGATCTAGAATAGCAAAATAACTTTGAAAAAGAACAAAGTTGTAACCTGCTATCAAAGCTACAGTAAAAGACAAAGACAGTTTGATGTTGGTATTAGAATACACATATGGATCAATGGAGCAGAAAAGTCCAAAAATAAACCTATGCATTTATGGTGAATTAATAGAAAAGGGTAGTCTTTAACAAATGGTACTATAACATCCATGTACAAAAATATGAAACTCAATCCTAACCTCATTGTACATAAAAATTAACTTAAAATGAATATAGTTCCAAACAAAAGAATTAACATTATCACATTTCTTTTTTTTTTTTTGAGTTGGAGTCTCACTCTGTCACTCAGACTGGAGTGCAGTGGTCACTCCTGGCCATTGCAGCCTCGACCCACTGGCTTCGGCGATCCTTCCGCCTCAGTCTTCTGAGTAGCCGGAATTATAGGTACGCGCTACCATGGCTGGCTGACTTTTTAAAAAATTTATTGTAGAGATGAGGTCTTGCCAAGTTGCCCAGGCGGGTCTCGAATCCGTGGGCTCAGGCAATCCACTCACCTCAGCCTCCCAAAGCGTGGGATTACAGACTGAGCCACCGAGCCTGGCACATTATCACATTTCTTTTTTTTTTTTCTTCTTTTTCTTTTAGTCAGAGTCTCACTCTGTTGCCCAGGCTGGAATGCAGTGGCATACTCACGGCCACTGCATCCTTGACCTGCTGGGCTCAGGTGATCCTTTCACTTCAGCCTTCAAAGTAGCTGAAACCACAGGTGTAAGTCACCATGCCCAGCTAAGTTTTTGATTTATTGTAGAGATGAGGTCTCACCAAGCTGCCCAGGCTGGTCTCTAACCACAGGACTCAGGTAATCCTCTCACCTCTGTCTCCCAATGTGCTGGGATTACAGGCATGAGCCACTGTGCCTGCTAAATTATAACATTTCTAAAAGAGAAGAAAATCTTTGTAATCTTGGGTTTGACGCAAAACACAAAAATCATGAATCATGTAAAAAAAAAAAAAACCCAAACTGGACTTCATCAAAATTGGAAACTTCTCTCTGAAAGAAAAGAAATCGACTGGGAGAAAATATTTGAAAACACATATTTGGTAAAGAAGTTGCTAATGTATGCAAATGTTCACAGCAGCTTTATTAATAATAGTCAAATAGAGGAAACAACCCAAATAGCCATCAAAAAGTGGAAGAATAAGCAAATTATGGTAAATCCATAATGGGATACTTCTCAGAAATCCAAAGAACGAACCACAGATACAGGCCACAACATGGATGAATCTCAAAAGCATTACACTAACTGTAAAAGAAGCAAGACAAAAAGGCTGTACTCCGTGTGGTTCCATTTAATGATACCCAGGAAAAGGTAACTATTTTACTGGTTTACTGGTTGTCCGGTTTTAAGGGAGAGGTGGGGGGACTGTCTGCAAAGGAAAATGAGGGAGATTCTGGGAGTCATGTATTTTAAAACTTGAGTGTGATGACTTCACTAGTGTATAGATGAGTAAAAACTCATATAAACAATACAGTTCAAAAGGAGGAATTTTTGGTATGTAAATTATACTTCAATAATCTGACTTTAAAAAATGATTCTCTTAATTGCCACTTTCTTTTATCCCACAAGCATCCAATGGCTAGCATATCTTTTCCCTTTCAACTTTAACTCATCAACATATACTCTCATACTGTTAGGCCAGCCTTTCCAATGAGTCCTTGCTCCCACCCTCTCTATAAATCTAACACTTATCCATTCCCTCTCTTTCAGATCTAACTTAACTCCAACATACCCCAGAAAGACTTCTCTGATCACTCTAGGACACAATAATCTCGACATACTATATGAACTCCTACGCCATGTTCAATTTTTTTTTACACATTTAAGAATTCACTTATATACTATATTGTATTCTTGCGGATTTCTTTTCAGGAAGGTGGAGGTGAGGGTTCATATCCAAGAACAGAACACGTCTTTCTGAGGACCTGGCATTCTCAGATTTTTGCACAGAATTGTCTTTTACTAAAATTCAATTGATTTTATGAGTAGTTACATTGTCATGTGCTCATTCAAATGATATCTCCCAGAGATACTGAAAGGAACTACCAGGGTTTATGAAATATATTTTTCACAGAACTCAAAACAAACAAAAAAAAGGTGATGATTTAGATACTATTGTATTAGAAGGCACAGGGCTAGACTGGATAAATCCTTGAACTTTATCTGTCAAAGGGCTTCCAACGTGATTATTTGTGATAGTTAAGACACTACAATATTGAGACTAGTCAAGGTTGACTTCTCTTTTTGGGAATGGATGAAGTCTTCTTCTTAGGTAGTGTTTTAATAGGACCAAACAAGTAAAGCAATTGTATTTTAGAAGAAATTTCAAGAACAGTATAATTGGAGTAGTTATTCCAGTAAGAATTTACCAAATATGTGTGTGATTATACCACAATGGACACAAAGACAAATCAGACATGTGTTTCTGAAAAAGAGTAGAAGAGATAAAATTATGTGAAGAAAAGTGACACATATAGATTATTATGAACTTTAACAGAGGGAAAACTACTCTTTGGAGAAATCATAAAGAAGGTTCATGAAGAAGACGGTATTTTTGAGGTGGACCATGAAGGACAGGTAAAATGAAGGAAGAGAAGATAAATGATGGGACATTGCACAGACAATTATTGCTAATTTTATGAATGCTCATGGCTGAATACAAAAGCCCAAAGTATAGTGCAAAATTTTCTGTTATTTAAAATGGTAGCTAGAATATACAATGAATTTCTTTTGGCTAGTTCCTCTATCTACTTTCCGATTAAAAAATATAAACTTCATATAAACTATTATCACACATCCATTAAAATATATAGCAATACATGAATTATTTCACTGAACAAAAGTGAGAAAATGAAAAAGAAATAAATATCTTTAAAATACAAGTAAATACATTGTATACTTTTTCCTCTCCTTCAGGTGATGACAAGAGGGCTTTTTCCTCTTGTTCCGGTGTAGGTTCAGCATCTCCAGAGATGAGTTTTCCGAAGACCTGATGAAGAAGATAGGTATGTGAGAAGGAATTAATGACAGGGATTACCACTGGAAAGCTAGAGGATTCATTAGCTGAATCTGCAAGTTTAATAGTATGTTATTCTTGCTACATACAACACTACTTTTTTGAATTACGATTGCAACACGAAACAGATATTTGGGGCTATGAGAAGCAAAAAGAAACCACAGTTATAGTCAGAAATCTCTAAAAAGTTTTACAAAATACTTTGCTACATCCTTGCAATATATTATGTCAATTTATCCTGCACTAGAATATGTAGGAAGGACACTCACTTGAGATGTAATAAGTCTGAACACACGCAGAGTCTCAGCTTCACAGTTCCTTTGCTGGGCCACACTGGCTGAAATTTGGCCAGCAATTTTTGTGCTTTCACCATCTTTCCATCCCAGGACTTTGACCTGTCGAACTCTTAGTGTATTTTCTGGGCCCTTTAATTCAATTTTGATGATGTGGTTATCCCCTCCTGGAAGTTCACTTGTTACCCAACCAATGTGCCTGGAATCCAGATCAACCTGGTGAAACAGAAAAGGGACAGGAACCTGATACAGCTGAATCACTTTTATCACCATCCTAACTTGGTATTAATAATAGCAAGCTTAAATAACAAGTAATTGTCCAGAGAGTAAGGGTTATCTGGTTATTTCATGCTGATGATCTTATTTCAACCCAACAAGGATAAGTAATATTATCTCTAGTGGCTACTACACAGATGAAGAAACTTAGGTTAACACAGGTTGAGGAACTCTCAGTAAGTGATGGAGAATTAAAATCCAGGTTTAACCACTATATGGCTTCTCAGCACAAATTATATAAATGAAATGATCACAGACAATTTACATGACTGTACTTTACCTATACGAAGTGGAAACAGAAACATCACAAGATCAGATATGAGGTTTTTTGTGCAACCTCATTTGCACACATCATTATATTTATAATGTACAGTTACTTAGATGTTTTACTTTTGAAGAAAAGTATATATGTCACTTCACACTTGTGATTCCTTATTTCACTAAATTTCATCAAGAATTACTTTTTTTTCCTCAAAGATTAACTGTCTATATTCTATGAAATGATTTTTGACATTGTTCCCTTGATAAAATGAAGTGTTCTTAGGGCATTTGATAGCCAAGAAATGATCTGGAGACTTCTACATCATTTATTGACATTTAAGTTGATATTGTAATTGAAAATGTCAGTTTTCTAAAAGGGGCATTAAGTATAAGCAAAAACTATCTCATCTTGAAGAGGATTATTTTCCCAAATTCTTTAACAATTTAAATAAAATTTATTATTTGTCTAGTCCAAAAATGTCAATTCATTCTTTTAATATGAGTTGAGAACAAATAACTGGTCAACTTTTGTGAGATAAAGTAGCCACAAAGAAACAGTTTTGACAAAGTTTCACTAAAGCAAGTAAGAGCGCTTGCAAGCAACCTCAGACATGTGCCCAAATAGAACTTGTTTCTAGAGATGGTTTGTAAACTGACTTGCAATTTGGATATAGCTGCAGTTACAAGTGATAGATTTTTCAAGCTAGAAGACAACAGTCTATTCTATCCCAAGGCATAGGTGAATTATGGTATTAAGTGTGAATGAAATTTGTGATAAATTTTTTTTTTTTTGAGTTGAAGTCTCACTCTGTCGCCCAGACTGGAGTACAGTGGCCGCTCCCGGCCACCACAGCCTCAACCTGCTGGGCTCCGGCAATCCTTCCGCCTCAGCCTTCCAAGTAGCCGGAATTACAGGCATGTGCTACCATGCCCGGCTGATTTTTTGATTTATTGTAGAGATGAGGTCTCACCGCCCAGGCGTGTCTCGAACCCGCGGGCTCAGACAATTCACTCACCTCAGCCTCCCAAAGGCGTGGGATTACAGGTTGAGCCACCGAGCCCGGCTTGTGATAAATTTTTAAGGCCCTTTGAGTCTTTGTAGAGGAGTGGGGAATGGGAGACTGTAGGTATAGAAGTATTTAGGGTATAATGGGTAGGATGTTGTTACTGTTCCTATGTTGTACCATTTGTCAATTTATTGTTTTATAAATTGATGATTTCCTGTAATACTTTGGTAGTGTGCTAAATTGGAGCTCAACAGCAGAGGCTGAGAAGAAGAAATTTCTCCCAAAGTAGCAAAACATTTAGTGACAAAATTTCACTTACCTGCTTTATTCTGCACAAATCTTCTACTGCTTTGCCAGTTAAGAAGGTCATTGAGGTAACTTTATTCTAAAATAAACAATTCACAATTATTATGTCATATTCCTGCTTCAGAATTTACAACCTTGTAACTACCAAATACCACATCAACTCTTCTGCCTTTCTTTTAGGATCCTTCCTAGTTGACACTAGCCCATCTGTCCAACTAAAACACAATTGCTACAATGCCAAAGTCTAAATATTCAAATTTTATCTCTATCTGCATGAAGTCTTTTTTTTTTTAAAGTTGGAGTCTCACTGTCTCCCAAGCTGGAGTGTAGTGGCATGCTCCTGGACACCACAACCTCGACCCGCTGGGTTCAGGTGATCCTTCTGCCTCAGACTTCCAAGTAGTTGGAACCACAGGCACGTGCCACCATGCCTGGCTAATTTTTTGATTTATTGGAGAGATGAGGTCTCGCCATGTTGCTCAGGTTGGTCTCAAACCCTGAGATCAGGCAATCCTCTCAGTGCCGCCTCCCAAACGCTGGGATTACAAGTGTGAGCCACCGCACCTGGCTGCATGAAGCCTTTTTAACAACTCTGCTTGTCACTTATATCTGTCTTTCAATTACTTTTGGACGTAGAAAGAAGGAAAGTAGCAAATGTATTCAGATTGTCTTACAGACATGGAGCAGAATACATGAAAACAAGGGGTCCTGTCTCCCAAGATACTTGCCAAACTAGGGAAAGCAACATTAACACAAAATAAATGTCAAACAGTAGAAGTTCAACTGAAAAAGAAGCATGCTGGTAGTGTCAAAAATCTTAAGGTTGAGTAAGTTTTATGCAAAGCACATCAAAGAATATATTAATTCCTTGGAGTGCTATTATGAGTTCTATAGACTGATGCAATTCAAATCCATGCACATATATATATATGTATATATATATTTCTCCATATATATGGAGGAGAGAGGGGGAGAGAGGGAAGGAGGGAGGGAGGGAGGGAGAGAGGGAGGGGAAGAGGGAGAGAGGAAGGGGATACCTTATCTATCTGAAATGCTTGGGACTAGAGTATTTTGGATTTCAGATTTTTCAGAATTTTAGAATACTGTACTCGCATTATTCTTACTGGCTGAGCATCCCAAATCCAAAAATCTGAACTCTGAAATGTTTCACTGAACATCATGTTGGTGCTGAAAAGTTTTACATTTTTGAGATTACGGATTTAGAATTTTGGATTTGGGATGCTCAACCAGTATCAGAGGAAATCTTTAAAAGGGAAAGTATATGTCAGCTTATACACTGAGTTTTAAAAAAATGAATATTGTTATAACTCTCTCTTGGAAAAGACAAAAATGTCAAATTGATTGTAATTACTGTTCTGAGGGAAAGTATGTCCTGACTTAAAATGTACCATGAGTCAAAGACAACTTTGTACGGAGCAGTGAGTTCTGGTCAGAAAAAATGTTTCTATTTATTTCACTTGACTTTCTAGTAAGGTAAAGTAGTTGTTGTCAGGGGCAGTGGCTCATGCCTGTAATCCAATCCCAGCACTCTGCGAGGCTGAGGCAGGAGGATTGCTGGAGCCTAAAAGTACAAGATTAGTCTGGGCAACATGGTAAGACCCTTCCCATCTCTACAAAAGTTTAAAAATTAGTCGGGTGTGGTGACATGCCCTTGTAGTCTCAGCTACTTAGGAGGCTGAGGTAAGAGGATTGAGGAATTCGAGGCTACAGAGAGCTATGCACTCTAGCCTGGGTAACAGAGCAAGATCCTATCTTCAAAAGAAAAAAAAAGAGTAGTTGTACAAATTGAAATGATTGAGCCTGAAATGGTAATAAGCTGATAATATATTAGCTAAGTTCCTTTTTCTTATTCAACACCAGGGAAGAACTGAACCTGCACTGATGTACAGAAGTTGAGGGTTGCTGTGGATTACATGGAACGCTCTGATTGCAGACTGGACTTGCAGTTGGCTTTATATTTAGGCTCTCTGAGACCTAGTTCCACCAGTTTGGCTCTTCCTGAGAAAGGAAATATGCAAATGGCACAGGGCAGCTAGACAATGTTTCAAGGGGATGCACCAATGCTATCTGCTAGCAAGCCACATTGGTCTGAGTTAAAAAATGCTAAGTATCTTTCTCCAGGAATGAGGGCAGAAGAAAGGCAGTTTGGCAGCTGGTGCTATTTCTTGCGTGGTTCTTAACACTCAAATAAATAGGACTCCTCTTCCTTTGATAGTGCCTTTTATAAAAGAGTACTTAATTCAGTTGAGACATGTAGACAGTCTAGGTTAGGTAGAAAATAAACTACAATTATTTGGGTTAGTCCAGAAGTTTTTCAATTGCAAGTTAAAGTATATTAAGTGTCATCTGAGTAATATGAAAAAGAACCCAGTGCAGTGAAAGTGATTTTTATAGAGGAGTTACTAAGAGAAAATTTATCTGCTAAGTCTCAATGACCTTGAGGAAATCTGATAAGCAGAGTTTAAGGGGAAGATTTCCAGGCCAAGGGAAAAGCTTAAATAAGAGCATAGAAGAAGAAAATTATACAGACTTTTGTTTTGTCTAGCTGTGGCCATGGTATATATTTATAAAGAGAACTCTTTTCAGAATTGGTATTCCATAGTGTTCCCAATCATATTAACCTGTTTTTAGATTCAAGATTTATTTGGAGAATATAAGAATGATGTCTGGCGAAGTTCCCAGGTGATAAATCTTTTTGTTAAATTCAAAATGAGAGTGCATGAATCCTAAAGGTCTAAAAAGAACTAATGAGCAATAAATTAAGTTTCCTTTGTTACCCCAAGATCGCGGGAATTGTCCACGTGAACAGATACATAGCGGGCATTGATTCCTTTCACACAGTTGATGGTGATGCTCTTAGTTTTGTTTTTATCTTCATCTCCTGATTCCCAAAAGGTTTCTGTGGAGCCATCTGTCAAACTGCCAATCATAGCAGGTCGGCTTGAAGTTTTTATGTCAACAATGCTGGTTAAGTCCTTTAAACACATTACTATGCATAATTCCTATCAGAAACAAATATAAGTACTTATAATACTCAAAGGGCAGTCTCACATATGATAAAACAAACACACGAGACACAACATAACGTTAAACAGAATCAAACTGTTTATGAGTAACTTATAGTTCCTCCTCTAATACATTGTTGACTATTAACTGACAAGACAACCAGGACATTAACTATTAAATGACTGACCTGACTCATTGCTTCAAAGCCAGACTGAATACTGATGCTAAAACTCTCTTCACTATCACCATCGTCTGATTTTGATAAAATATTGTTAATGTGATGAAAGACGTTGCTCTGATGAAGGAATTGGTGATCAGATTGCTTGAATTTCAGACTCCAGCATCTAAAAAGGCAATATGTAAGCGACATACGAAATATCTAAGGAATATCTAAGGAACATCTAAGGAATATCTAAGGAATATCTAAGGAATATCTAAGGAACTCCTGGAAGAGCACTCTGTAGCTAATATCTCAAGAAATCTTAATGCTCTTGTAAAATACAGAAACTTGAAAAATTCAGGGAACAAAATCATTGCTACTGTTTTTTGTTTTTGTTTAGAGAAATAAAAATAATTTCTTTGGAGCAATGTAAGTTCTAAGGAAAGTTCACCCATTTTAAATATAGAAAAATTAGACACATGAAGATCAAAGTTATGGACACAAAAAAGGTAATGAAATCTGTTGTGCAGACAAGTGTTACACCAAATATAACAGCCTCTCAAATTTATTAGTCTTATAATTCCATACTAATTTGTCAGGATATAATATATCTTGTACTTCAAAAACCTTGAAGAAAACAAAAAAATATAATTTCCCTTTCACTGTTCTTACCATTAGGAATATGGAAAATATAATCATCCCATGAACCCATTCCTTATATAAATCAATGAAGAATTTATTTATATCTGTAGTCCAATATGTGAATCAAATATCAAGATTCACAATGCTGCTGGTTCAACATTCGCAAGACAATAAATGTAATTAAATAAGAAAAAAAAAGATTCACAATGCTAAATTTTTAACAGATTACAACTTAAAATTATGTGATGCTCCTTAAGGTAGTTTTAGGATTGGCTCTAACTAGGCTCTATTGTTCTTAAGACTCTTTTCAAGTCAAGACGCTATTTCGGTTTTTGCTTTTGAAATTTCATTTTCCCTCTTTTTGGGACATTTAAAAGATCTGAGGTAGGAGGGAGGAGAAAGTGAGGGAGACCCTTAAAGTACTAAGAGGTATATTATCCACATTTTACAGGGCAAATAGATGTGAGCCAAGAGGAAGGACAACTCTAAATTCTGACAGTAGGAAGGGAAGCACCATTTATACAATGTAGGGATTCTATCTTACTATTTAAAGGGGTTTTTTAAGCATTTCATACTTTGTATACTCCATAAAGTCTCTTCTCCAGTGTACCTGGAATACTTCGATACAAAATTACCTCAGAGCCATTTGCTGTAATGAACTGCCACTGGGGAGTGACATCATAAGGTCAGAGATGGTCTGAAGTAAGCGGTGAAACGTGTGTGGTAAAGGATGAGCGGCTTCCCCTGCAATGACGATGTCTGAGAGTGGATGTTCACATACTCTTGTATCCTTCTCCTAAGAAACAGAAAGCAAATTTATCAGTGTGTGTGCTGGAAGGAACTTTCCTCACAAAAGGATATCACATATAATTAAAGGTATTACGTACACTTTAAAGATACCTGTGTAGCAGAAATGTAAACAACAAAACCAAACCATATTCAGAACGTATAGTAAGTAAAGTTAGTTATATTTGCATGATTTTTAGAGAAAAAGTGATAAGCCTACTCAAAAATAAAATTAGGAAGCAAATGAATACCATATACATATATCAACTCCAGTGTACTCACAAATCTACTGGTAGGGTAAATCTGTGTGTGTACACATGTACAGTATGTGCATACATGTGAATATACATGTACATGTGTACATAAGCATATTTGAGGGTATGTTTTGTGTGTATATTTATATATTTTTAAAAAGATGTCTTTGGAAGTTGGGGTCACCACTACTACATATAGCAGTGGCACACTCATGGCCACCCCAGCATCGACCTGCTGGGCTCTGGCAACCCTTCTGCCTCAGCCTTCTAAGTAACCAGAACTACAGACGCGTGCTACCATGCCAAGCTAATTTTTAAATTTATTGTAGAGACGAGGTCTCACCAAGTTGCCCAGGCTGGTCTCGAACCTGCGGGCTCAGGCAATCCACTCGCCCTGGCCACCCAAAGTGCTGGGATTACAGGCTGAGCCACTGAGCCTGGTCACATATAGCATTTTTAAGTGAATTAGAGGAAACAGCTCCTCTCTTTAGATAGATGGACCACAGCTTGGAAAGAGAAGCAGGGGTTCTCTTGAATAAGGTGTTCCTCATTCAAATCCTCAGTCTGTTAAAAAAATGGCCCTATTAAAAACATTACCTACAGAATAATATTTATAATAGAAAACGGAGTACTTCACTCTCTCAAAGAAAGACTTATTTTACATAAACTGATTGAAATCAACTGATTGGTTAAAACTGGTGCCTCAGAGAGCACTAAGCAGGTATGCTTTAAAGCAGAGGTCACAAGAGCACCACCTACAGAAGCTAAGCGGGTACACCATGGAGTCCAGTGCAGTGGAGAGCAGTGCACATCTTGAGGGGGGCCGCGGCCCATCTGCAAGCAGACTCAGACTACAGAGCTCCTCTCTCTCAAGTCAGTCATTACCACACAGGAATTTTGGCCCAGGTCTCGCCAGATCACTATATCTAAGAGAGGGTGTTCATACACTAGTGTATCTTTCTAAGGCAGAAAGTAACAGCAAATTTATTAGCTAATTTGTATGGTGGAAGTAAAGCACTTCCATTTTAAAATGCTGGCTGTTATTTTTTTTAAACACTGTGCAAATCAAAAATGTCTGAGGGTCAGAACTGGCCTATAAACTACCATGTTTTTTCTTGTTTTAATAAGTACTGGACTTCTTCTTCTTTTTTTGATGATTTTGGAAAATATTACCACTCAATGATTTTTTTTTTTTTTTTAAAGTCTTGCTTAGATTTTAACATTGACATTTCTGGGTCCAATCAAGCAACTTGAAAAATATGCCTTCTTTCCATTAAACAAGTTCTCAATCAGATGATATACATTTCTAGAATTCACATCTACACCTCAGTCATATTTCCTCCATTTGGGGACTCTTGAGCAAACCACAGTCAAAATCTATCCTGTGGTATGTACGTGAGAATAACTTGCTTCACTGATCTAATCTCTTTTTTCCTTTGTGATTCAAAGAAATATTTCTACTAAAGCACTTACTTTTATAAGGAAAGATATGCCATGGTTATATCATAGTAGATCATTAAAAGCCCTTAGTAAGGCAATGATTACTTATTTTAGTTATTTCCAATAATTCTGCACAAAGTTTCTAAGACTTGATTTGCTTAATAACAAAAGCGGACACTATTACAGAATGCCTGCCATGATTCAAATTTCACATTCGAGTTCTCATTTTAAAAAGTTTATTCTTTTCAGGCTGGGCACTGTGGCTCACGTCTGTAATCCTAACACTCTGGGAGGTACAGGTGGGAGGACTGCTTGAGCACAGAAGTAGGAGACCTGCCTGGGAAACATAGCAAGACCATATCTAGTCAAAAATCAAAAAGTTAGTCACATGTGGTGGTGTGTGACTGTATTACCAACTGCTCAGGAGGCTAAGGTGGGAAGATCACTCAAGCCCAGGAGGTCAAGGCTGAGGTGAGTCGTGGGTGCCTCTCAATGTCCTCCAGCCTAGGTGACAGAGTAAGACTCTGTCTCCCAACTCAAAAAATAAAATAAAATAAAATAAAAATTTTATTATTTTGAGTAGGTAATAACATATATCATAATAAAATATTCAAAAGGTATTTTAAAATACCATAAAAAGTTAAGTCTCCTTGTCCCCATATCCCAACCACCTGAATGCCCTTCTCACTGGCACTTTCCATTATCAATTTCTTGGAAGGTCTATAAATATTATTCATTTATACAAATGGTAGCACTCTAAGAACACTGATCTATACTTTCTTCTTCTTCTTTTTTTTTACAAATACGAATTTATCTTTCAGATCATTACTTATTAGATATGTGTGTAACATATATTATCCTTCTGCATGGTATTCTGATAAAGGAAAATACCAGTTTACTTCATCAGTCCACTTGAGAACAGTCATTTAGGTTATTTTCAATATTTAGTTTTTGTAAAAAACTGTATAATGAAGGATGAGTGCAGTAGTAGCTCATGTCTGTGATCTCAGCACTTTGGGAAACTGAGGAAGGAGGACTACTTGAGCTCGGAAGTGCAAGACCTGCTTGGGCAACATAGTTAGACCCCATTTGTCCAAAAACACTTTTAAAAAATTAGCTAGGCATGGTGGCAAGTGCCTGCAGTCTTAGGTACTCAGGAGGGAGGCCAAGGCAGGAAGATTGCTTGAGTTCAGGAGTTTGAGGCTACAGTGTGCACTCTAGCCTGGGCAACAGAGTGAGACCCTGTCTCTAAAAAACAAAAAAAATTCTGTAATGAGTCAACTTACATATTTGTTGTTTCAGATATGCATATGTGATAAGAAGAAATTCATAAAAATAAAATTGCTGAATTATTTTTAATGTGGATTTTGATAGATCTTGCCAAACCGTTCTCTAAGAAGTTACTACATCACAGCAAAGAATGAGTGTGCTTATTTTTCCAGGCTGCTCCCAAGGTAAGCTTATCAAACTTTTTGAACTGTGTCAAAGAGCTAAGTACAAGATGGTTACTTTTTGCCTCCTTCATTGCATGTCTATGGATTATGCATCATACAGGGTCTGGTTTAAAGTATCTTCCAAAGAATGTTGAGTTTTGTTCTTACAGGGAGATAACAGGCCACCTAGATTCTGTCAAGCTTGGCATTCAATTTTGTTAGGCTGGGGTTACTTTAGTTTTGCCCATGATATATGGTAGTGTCCTTACTTGTAAGGCACTTTGCTTCTCTTTGTGAATGACTGGATGCAGTGTTTTGTATAGTCTATTAAATCAAAACTGTCAATTCAAATCAATTTACCTTCTGACTCTTGTGTCTGTCTGACCTATCCAGTATTAAGAGTACTGTAGTACTCTGCACAAAATGATCAAATTCTTTTTGGTTTTTCCCATCAAGAGGTAGAGTTTATTTCTCCAGTTCTTGAATGTGGCCAGCCTTATGAACTTCAGTGGGTAACAGAAAGTGGCAGAGGCATGGTATGTGAGTTTAGCCTAGGCCCTTTTGGCTTTGTAGCTTCTGGGCTTACTTTCTTGGATGCTGTTGGCATGGGAACAAACCCAGGCCAGTCATCTGGAGGATGTAAGATCTCAGAGAGTGCCACTTGAGGCACACTGTGTTTCTAAAACGGAAATGAGCCATTCCTCTCAGTTGAACCTACCTCAATTGCCAACCCATATGCTGTGAGCAAACAAACAACTGTTTTAATACAGTGAGTTGTGGGGTGGTTTGTTATGCAGGAACAAAAAGCTGTTACAGGCATCTGACAATCTCATTGTGTAATTACAGACTGTTCTATTTTTACCTTGTAGTCTGTCGATTATTACTTACTATTCTTAAGGTTATATTACTAGGTATATGCATATCCAGAATTAATCTTTTATCATTTTGTAGATTACCACAATACACCATTTTTACACAATGTTTTTAAGATGCACTCATATGTTTAATTTTCTTTTCTTTTCATTGCTTCTTGCTTCTTAGATCTTACATCTAAGATCATCTGTTGTACTTAAAGTACACTAGAATTCCCTTTGGTGACACTCTATTTGTGGCTATCTTTCTCCATTTTTATTATGAAAATGTCTTTGTTTTGTACTTGTTCTTCAAAGACTCATCACTGGGTAAATAATTATTCTCTTAGCACACTGAAAATAACAATTGACAGTCTTAAAAAAAAATCAGTCTTTTCACTTGTAATGTTACTGTTGAAAATTAAGCTGTTTTTCTCATTCCCCTCCTTTGAAAACTAATATACTTTTTCCCTGTGGCAGCTTACAATATTTCCTTTGTTTTTGTGGTTTAAGTCACTATGATTTGTCCACTATTTTATTTATTCTACTTGGGGTGCACTATGCTTCTTGACTCAGTGGGTTGTTATCTGTCATTGATTCTGGGAAATTCTCAAGTATTAACTCTTCAAACTCTTGCCTCTCATCCATTCTATCTTCTCCTTCTGAGATGCCAATTAGAGGTTACACTTTATTTTATCCTGCATTATTCTTAAAAACTTACCTTTTATTTATTTGTTTTTCTGTGTTGCATTCTAAATGATTTCTGCAGTCTTCTTATATTTAACCAATTTCTTCATTAACATGCTGTAAAATCTCAAACTGATGTTTTTCATTTTTTAAGCATTAATTATAATAATATATAATTTTACATGTTTTATTTAGTTCTTTTTCAAATTTGTCATTCTTTATATTTCTTCTTACAAGTTTATATTTTAAAGCTTCCCTTTTTTAAAAACCATATTAAACACAGCTGTTCTATGTATACTCAGATAATTGTACACACTGAAAACTATTGAGGGTCTATTTTCTGCTGCTGTTTTTGTTAGTTCTTGCTCATGGTATCTTGTTTCCTTGTGAGTTTTAAGAATTTTGACTAAGGCCAAGTGTGGTGGCTCACGCCTATAATCCCAGCACTTTGGAAGGCAAAGGTGGGAGGATCACTTGGGGCCAGGAGTTCAAGACGAGCCCTGGGCAACATAGCAAGACTCTGTTTCTATAAAAAATATAAAAATTAGTTGGGCACATGTTTGTAGTCCCAAGTTACTGGGGAGACTGAGGTGGGAGAGTTGCCTGAGCCCAGGAATTCAAGGCTACAGTGAGCTATGATCACATCTCTCCAGCCTGGGCAACAAAGTAACCCCACCTCTGAAAAAGAATGAGAACGAGAAAGAAAAAGACATTAACTATGATAATGGTGTTTGGTATATGTGGAAATTAATCATAAAATGTCATTTATATAATTTTAGAATGCTTGAGAGTAAGTTGAACGTCACCTACATTAGTGTTTCACGTTACAGTTAATGGAAATTGAGGCCCACAAGTGTTACAACTGCACAAGGGGTAGAAATGCGGCTGGAACTCAGGCTTCTGTGTCCCAGTTCAGTGCTTTTTCCATTATACAGGCTGCCTCCCATAAAATCTAGGTCCCTTCCAGTCCAACATGCACTTCTAAATTTCATGTCCCTAAATAGTGTCATTTTTGCCATCTAGTATCTTATAGCAATGTTGTAAATGAGATTGATGCTCTACATAATGTTGCTCTGTTTATCTATCATATATTATAGATATATATATAGATATATGTAATAGTGTATATCTTCTAGTTGATTGCTTTATGACATGGTGTTTAATGAGAAACCAGATGTGACTGTAAGCATCTCTGTTAGAGATAAAACTTTCACAAAGTATATAGTTAATACTTTGTCCATAGCACTGAAATGTCCTCCCGGCTTTCAAGTTAGATCTGTGAATGATTTGATGCAATTTTATGCAAATTATTGTACTATCTGAAGGAGTACTACCCAGCTTCTATAAAAATATGGACAAGTAAAACAAAATTCTCACTCACCTGTTCCACATTTTCTTTGTTTATTTTATTTTCTTCATCATCTTCTTCCTCTGGTTCCACTGGAGCAGGAGTCAGTGATGCCACAAAATGCCACAAAATATCATGGAGAGAAGTGGTTTGGATGACATTACACAGAAGCCAGTTGAAAGCCTAAATAAATGATGGTTAAAGGAGTCCAAAATAAAAAAAAAACTGTACAATTCAAAAATTTAAGGCTTTTCTTGCTCACAAATAAATTACCTCCATAGACTAACTGTTGCAAAAGATACTAGGCAATCTGATCTTCATGTCACTGCAAGCACACTGAACTTGAAATACTTAATAATTTTTGTCTTAATTTTTTCAAAAACATAGTGGGGAAAACAATATTTATAAAATACTAAACCGAAATAGCTTTTCTAACTACTTTCTTTCCAAAATTCTTCTTAATATTAAATTTATTCAAGCACTTTTTTCCAGTTTGCATTTAGGATGAGCACAGAATATATCTGAAGCTCTACACAGCAACCTTTTACTTGAATATATTTATAACATTCTTAACAATGAAGTGGCAGGTTATCTATCATAGTCAAGATAAAGAATAAAGATTTACTATATAAAGGGCTGTGATATACAGCAATCCTACCATTTCCAGAGACTAGAGGCCAGGAATGTTATTACTGGTAAATGTATAATTCAAAGGATCTACTTCTTAACTTCTTTGCATGGTTATTTTATTTCATTCTAATAAAATGACATTCTAAATACAAAAAGCTTTTAGAAAAAGATAATATCAGGATTCAAATAATCAAGCAATGCAGAAATAAGTTTTTTTAGAGTGCTTGAATATGAAATTCTAAATTCATCTATATTCATAAACTTTAGAGTTTAATTTTGATATGAACCCTTGATACTTTTTATTGGTTAATATCTTTTAATTTGATACAATTTCTGTTGATAAAAAGTTGCATCACCACCTGATTTGTAAGATCACCACATGAAACAGAATCACCACATAATCTGTATGATCAATAAATCAGTAACTCTACTAAAGTATTCATACCTCCATAGCAAAAACTCGACAAGCAGATTTTCTTAAGGCTTGTTTCATTGCTATTTCAAGCCCTTCTAGATCATGATGTTGTATAACAAAAGCTAAAACCGGCCACTGGAAATTTCGTTCTCCTTTAGAAAGAGAGCTGTGGGCTGAGATTAGCCGAGAAAGTTCAGGAGATGGATGTCTCAATAGGGAAGATCCAACCTCTGTTAAAAAAAAATTTTAATTTTCTTAGGCAGTACACATATATTTAAGATAACATCAAAAATAATATCTAGTATATTTATAAGAGGCTTTGTTGTTGTTGCTTGTTTTTGGCCCATGACAAAAATCATAATGATTTCAACTTTACCAAGGAAGAAACCAAAGCTCAAAAAGATTAAATATCTTACAAAAGTCATACAGTCATTCAGTTGTAGAGGTGGTTTTTGAATCTAGGGCTGAATCCAAAGTTCATGCTTTCTAAAACACTCTAAAAGCTAATTAATTTATATTCTCTCTAAATGAAATCTATATCTTATCACTATCATTTTCTAAAAGATAGCTTTATATGAAAAGTGTCTTGATAAGAGCTCAAAATTATTTGTTGAATGAAACTATAGATTGCTAAGCAATTTCCAATAATACTTTCCTTGAAGATCTCTGATAATAAGATATGTAAACATCTGCTTATAATATAATAATATGGTGATAAATCATCACCATACTATCTTTTCTTCTTGAGTTTCTTTTATTATTCTTGCAGTAGAATCCCCAATACCAGTTTTGGGCTGTTGATACCAAATGGTCCAAATAACTTTTTTTTATTCATTAAAAGCTATTCATATCCCTAAAGTTTTATATCTACTCAGAATTGTAATCTACTCATCAGCTACTGATGGTAGCTGTAAGAGTTATAAGCTTCTATTTGAGCGGGACAATAACCGTGAATGTGTATATCATTGGAACTGTTGGTCCATGAAGTTTAGTGGAAGAGATAATGGTAGCAATATTCGGTTTAGATATTTAACAAGAAAGAATGTAAAAGACAATTTATTCCTGAACAATCTCTGAATGATCTCTGGATATCTCTTCAACTGAGATGGAAAATTTAGGGAGGCACATTTATAGTTGTGCCACATAGAAAGAATTTCTATCACAAATTAGGAATAATTCTATAACTTTCCCTTAAAAAATTAAATTAAAAAAAATTGTCTGCTAATAAAACCATTTTCTTTTTCATTTTCAGCAGTTAGGTCACCCAATCTTCACTTTTCTTTTTATACTTACCAGTATCTCCACTGTTAACTCTTCTTCTAGGAATGGCTTTAACTCTTGCGGGTAAAATGGAGTGTTGTTTATCATATTCAGAAGCAACAACTGAGTATGATCTTTGGAAGACAGTTCTCTTTGCAAGGTCAGTGTCAGTTATGGGACTGGTTTCCAAACTGTAGGTAGAATAAGACGATAAAGAAAAACTTGAGAAAAAAAGTGAATGAAAAGTAACTTTACTTATAATGGTGTAGGCAAACCTGCATATCTATATTTCATGTGGAGAAATATACTAAAAACCAACTTTCAATCTCTTTAAATTATAATTTGATCTTTTAAATGCAGTAGCATTTTTATTAATTTCAGAACTGTATCTTCAAAGTTGTAGTTTTCTTAAATCTTTGTGTTTTAAATGAAAAAGAAGAAAAGGTCTCAAAGCTCCCTTTGGAATAAAGAGCACTAGGGTGGAACTCATATATCTATCATATTCATGAAAAACAGGCAGATATAATCATAAGTATACCAAGTAGAAAGAAAGTAGATATGTACATGTGAAAACCTAGTAAAATAGAAAGTGAAATTGGTTTATTTTTATAGCAACATTAAAAAGCACTTGAAAAGTTATTAAGATGATATATAACTTCCTTTATTGAGACAGTTTATAAAAAAATCTACTTTCCCTTTTTTATTTCTCTAAGGCACATTTACAAATTATTCTTTTCATGAGTTTTTTTTTTTTCTGTTGTCTCAATCCCAGTTTTTGCTCACCTTGTTCTGGAGTTTTTTTCCATCATTCAAGCCAGCTTTGAAATCCTATGGCCCTCAGTAAAACGTGTATATTTTCTGGTAAGTTGCTAGCTCCCTGGGTGATTCCTTGACTAACCACCTCTCAAGCTTCTGCTCATTCCCATTTGAACGGACTATAAATGCTGTGCATAACTGACTGGGTAAGTGTGTCTGGATGTCAGTTTGGGCTGTTTGGTTACAGAATGTCTAAAATATAGGGACACAATAACCTAATTCGCTTGATATACAGTGTTATTATAAAGTACAGACATTTGTTTTGCTTTCTGAGGAAGTTTCTAGCATAAGAAATCATCACACAATTTTGAAAAATTGATTTGTTCTTATAAAAATAATGTTTATGAAAAAATTCAAGCAGCATAAGAAAATCCAAAGGAGGAAGCAACAATAACCATCATTAACTCAACCTTGGCTACACTGGGCTGTGTAATTCCTTGTTGTTGGGGCTATGTTGTGCACTGTAAGATGTTTAGCAACACTTCTGGCCTCTACCCACTAGGATGCCTGTTGAACACGCCCAGTTGTGACAAAAAAAAATGTTTACAAACATTGCCAGATGTTACTGAGAAGGCAAAAATTACCACACCAGTTGAGAACCACTGATTTGATGAATTCATTATTCCTTCCCTCAACTTTTTTTTTTTTTCTTTTTTTGAGTTGGAGTCTCACTCTGTTGCCCAGGCTGCAGTGCAGTGGCACGCTCATGGTCATTCCAACTTCTACCTGCTGGGCTCTAGCGATGTTTCTGTCTCAGTCTTCCAAGTAGCTGGAACTACAGGCACATGCTACCACACCTGGCTAATTTTTGATTTATTGTAGAGATGAAGTCTCGCCAAGTTGCCCAGGCTGGTCTCGAACCAGCGGGCTTAAGCAATCCACTTACCTCAGCCTCCCAAAGTGCTGGGATTACAGGTTAAGGCCACTGAGTCCGGTCCCAACTATTTTTTTAAGAGACAAAATCTTGCTTTGTCATCCAGGCTGGGGTCCAGTAGCGTGATTATAACACACCTTAGCCTGGAATTCCTGGGCTCAAGTGATCCTCTCACCTCAGCCTCTGAAGTAGCTAGGGCTACAGGTGTACACCACCATGCCTGGGTAAATTTTAAAGAATTTCTTGTAGAGACAGAATCTTGCTACGTTGTTCAGGCTCATCTCGAACTCCTGGACTCCAGTGAATCTCCTGCCTTGGTCTCTCATTTGCTTCATTTGATTAACACATAATTAGTTATGGATTTTGCAGAGGAGCAGTGCTGTTTTTAAAAAATTACAACATGGGCACACATGTGCTAATGTTTTCAAGATCTTTTACATTTGAGTATGTCTGACCAATATTGGGTAAAACTTCTAAGGTAATATTTTCTTACTTTTGGAGCTTTAAGAGACATTGTTTCTTTCTTTCCTTTTTTTCTTTTGTTCAAAGTTGCTATACAGAGCTTGAATCAGTCTAATGTTCCTTTTGCAAGACATTTTTCTTCTCTGCTCCCATACTTGAAAAATTCTTTTTTTTCCCTTGGATTTTCAAAACTTAAAATGTTTCTTATAGTTACCTGTTCTAAAAATTTCCTTTAAATTTGAAAATTAAGTACTTTTTATTTGGGGAATTTAAAAAAATAAATAGCTTTCAACAAATTAATATATTTGTTGGTTTTTCTACTGACAGTTATCAGTTATTTTTATGTTGGATTGTCTCATTTTCCATATTTGTTACCTTAGTTCAGTTGCTATAATCTCTTTATCCTTCTTCTCCTTACTCACTGTGATCTCAAACCTTTTCTTTATGTCAGTAATTCAATGTACTGTTCTAAACATTTCTAATTAAATTATTAGTTTTATAATGGTATTGATTTGATCTTCAGTCTGTCCTTCAGTCTTTACCTCACTCTGCTTTTTTACCTTAGTCTTATACTTGCACTTTTATTAAATTTATATCATTACCAAGTTTTGCAGTAGCACAGAGTACTTAAGGGGATTTCTCTTCTTTTCCACGAGGTGAGTTTTCTTGCAGATTGGGTTTTTCAAATCACTTTGTATGACAATATTTTTTCATTTTGCTAATGCTTAAAAGTGAGTAGCTCTGTTTAGTTCTTCTGCTTCTTTGGATAAAGTATGGTGGATTTACCCAGATGTCCCTTTCCACCATATTTGACATATGTTTTACTCCCTTCCCAGAGATAAAGGGAAAGTTATTCAATATTCCATATTAGGGATCATTCTACCTAGTCTGGTGTATATATCTTTCTGTGGTAGTACTCCCTGGAACCTTAGACTATTGCTCTGCTTCAGCATGCAGCTATGGAAAAACAGTACTCCCTAGAAGATTTCCAGTTTCTGTTGTGATTCTAGTGATAATACTAGAAACATCTATACAAGAGGATTCTATCTTCACTGTTCTTGGGGTTTCCACTCACCTCCTCCTTAATTTACCTTGCTCTAAATTGGAAGATAATGATTTCTCAATATTGTTTTGGGGTAAATGCAGAAGTAAATCAGAATCTTCTGTTTCTTTACATGGTTATCACTTTTAAAAATTCATAGCAACTTGTGTAGCTAGAGCTGATAAACATTTTCCTTGATTTTTACTGTTTTAAAAAATACACTGGGTACTTTGGAGGGGATATTCTTTGACAGACACACACACACACACACACACACACACACACGTCTCAAGATGGTTTGTAACTCTTTTTAAAAAGTCTATATCCTTTAGAAATACTTCATCACTTATGAAAAAATAAAAAATATTTCTACAAAATATCTCCTTTAGCCATATCTTTTTTCATGATTATTGTCAACATAATCCAATTCCTCATACCTGACTTATTTGACTAAATGTTCAGCTTCTCAATTAACACTGTGAGACTATCTTTGCATTTTTATCAACCTATTCCTCCAAAAAAGTTTTAATGGTACTCTCTTTTCCTGTGAATTATAATAACATGTTCTATGCCATTTTCAAGCTCTTTATTCTAATACTACTATACTTAAGTAAGGAGGCACTGTAAGCAATAGTCCAAGAAGTTTAGGATCTATTTTCAGTGCCACTTCTACCATGAAAACTCCAAGCAATCTTTCCTTACCCTGACTTACTACAGCTGTAAATAATACAATATCATACACTGTAATATTTCGGTACTTCATTAATCGATCTTTTCTCTCCAATAGTCTGTCTCTCCCATCAAGGACCTTACCATATTCATACACGTAAGCTTTTTCTTACTGCTCCAGCAAAGCTGACTCGATGACCTTCCTGAGACAGAAGGATGTAATAAAGAACTTACAGACCACTCTTTTCTAGTTCAAAGTCTTTCTTCCACCAAACACTGGCTGTTCAACAGAGGAGAGAACTAAAATACCTTGGTGGCATAGACTTCATATTGCTTTCTGGCTCTTCAAATACATTAGGACTTGCATCAGGAGTTACTGATATGTATGGGGCAGGTACAGATGTTGAACGTAGATATCTCATTTCATCCTGGAATAGGTTGTCATCTTGATAGCCCACAAAATTTTCATGATGATGCCTGCATTAAATCAAACCCAATAACTTAAAGTATGATAGCAATACAGATCCTCTCCATTTTTTTATATCTCCTTCGTAATAGGAAAAGCAGCACATGTAAATCTATAATAGAGATTAAGTAATAAAATAATCATAGCTATAGGTAGATGAAAATAAAAGTCTGATAATCTTATACAAAGTTAATTGAGTTACCACAAACATTTCAAATCCAAAACTCAACGAATTTTCCTTCCTTTTGAGAATTTTTCCATCTTTCTGTATTTTCGTGAATGATCCCATCAACTATCCAGGTGCTCAAGCTAAAATATTTCCAGTGTTGTAAGTAGGCTTAGCCCTTTACCATTGCCATCACCCAAGTCCATGATCCTAGGTTTCCTCTCACAACCATTCACTTTTCTCATTTGCTATCACCATTGCCTTGGTTCAGGCTCATATTATTTCTTGCATGGACCACTGAAATGCAGGCAGTCACTTTTCTGGGTAAGAACATATTTGAAAATATTAGATATATGAAATATTCTGTGGGTTAGGGGGTGTCCATTCTCCAGATCTAAAATATATAAAGATACTTAAATCTACAATTTAAATATAAAATCTATAATAACGCTATATTAGCCTTTTTCACATGTTTTATAATTTGATTCCTTTCTTTTCAAACCAGAACAAACAGTTGCTAACCTAAGACCACTGAGTGGCCTGACTGAAGCTAAAGATTTGTTGCATTTGGAATGCCTGATGATTTCCACCTCTGTCTCAAATGTACTTAGTATCACATTTTCATTTTTGCTTCTTATTCATTTTATTGCAATAGTATAATGTTTCAAAAACCACACAACTCTGCTATACAAAGAGGACAATCCTTTCCAAAATGAAACTGTGGGGGTTGGCAAGCCATGCCAGCAGGCAATACCTAAAAATCTTTACTTGTCAGCTCAAGAAAAAAATCTGAATTTGGCATATGAAAGGTTGTTTTGCAGTGTTAATGCATAATGTGTAAAAGTACAGGCTGTGTCATCCAAGTTCAATATAAACAGTCTACCAGTGACAGGCTTTACTTCATCTTCAATAATGTACTTTAATCCAATTTCCTCGTTCCACAGAATGACATTTTTAATTGCAGAAAAGTTCAATGTATTTCCGTGTTTAAAATTCTTCCACTGTTTTCTCTCCCCATGGGATAAACTCCAACCTCAGCATGCATTACAGGGCCCCATATTACCTAGGTATTACCTAGGTAACTGCTCTGAATGGCATTTCACATATTTCTCCAGTAGCTGGTGTTTTAAAAAGCCTGTGATCCCTCAACAATGTAATACGATTTCATTTGGGTCTTCACTCACGTGGGTCACTTTCCTCCCATCAACTGCCTGATGGATATCTATTATTCTTTATGACCCTGCTAAAGGATCAGGCTCTCTGGGAAGCTCTTACTAATTTCTTTGGGAAGATTCAGGTACTCCCCATCTTTTATGGTCTATAGCATCCTATATACACAATTCTGTTATAGCACTCCTTGCATGACATTTTAAACATTTCATAAATACGCATGACTTCTCACCAGTGTATACACAGAAGCCAGGATTTTATAATATTCATTCATTCACTGAGGTCTAGCATAAAGCTGGTACCTAGCTGGTACTTATTTAAATGCTAAAAGAATGAGTAATATAAAACAATGTAAGACTGCTATGGGAAACATCACTTGAAAAAAATATTGTTTATTTTAGAGTTGTGAGGTACAGTGGGCATTTTCTACATAAGCAGATTGCAAGCAAGTAAAGTTTGGGCTTCTAGCTGGCCCTCTCTCCCCATTAGTGGACCAGGTACTAACTTTCTTTTTGTATCAGAATTTCACATAAACAGACTGAAGTCAGCCTACCAAAGAGCAAAAGATAGCTACAGTCTCACTTTCTAAGAATATTTTGTATTAATACTAATGCAAACTGACAAAGTATTTTCATGTTTTTAAAATCCTTACTACCATAAAGTGTATACTCTATTAGTCATAGATAACCAGTCATAGGCAAACCAGAAAATAAATTTCTGGAGGTTTCCTTATTGTATACAATATTTAATGCAGTGTGGGTATTCAGAGCAATTGCTGAACTACCCCATGATCTTAGTTAATCAACAGCAGCTGTTAACCCAGAGGTGAAGAAACAACAATGAAGTTTTATTACCTAGCTAATGTCTGCAGGTAGAGACAAGGCATTTTCACAGGAAGATCCTCAGAAATACCCTCTTTCACACTGGGCAGCTGTGACTGGAATGGCTTTGCAGGATGGTAACACAGAATGCTTGGCTCCGCTGCACTGCTCAGGGACAGCAGGAAGAGTGCATTGGCTTTTATCACCTGGTGAGCTTCCATGGTGGGCAAGGCACGCGGGGTCTTGACTTGCATTGGCTTTCTCCTAGACTGTTTGACCTGACAAAGAAATAAATTGAAGCGACCTTTTCCCAATTATATTAAAATCTTTAATTTCTTTTTTTCTTTTTTTTTTTGTTTTTGAGTTGGAATCTCACTCTGTCGCCCAGACTGGAGTGCAGTGGCCGCTCCCAGCCACCGCAGCCTCAATCTACTGGACTCCAGCGATCCTTCCGCCTCAGCCTTCCGAGTAGCCGGAACTACAGGTGCATGCTACCACGCCCTGCTAGTTTTTGATTTATTGTAGAGGCGAGGTCTCGCCAAGTTGCCTGGGCGGGTCTCAAATCCATGGGCTCAGGCAATCCACTCACCTCGGCCTCCAAAGTGCTGGGATTACAGGCTGAGTCACCGAGCCCGACCTAAAATCCTTAATTTCTTAAGGTAAGTATTTTGACTTACTAATAAAAATTATTAAACATTATTTTATATTGAATACAAACTGTAGGACTTTCCTTTCCTTGGAAAGATTTAAAGCCTAATTAGTTAAATCTAAATGTAATTCTTTAAAAAAACAAAAAAGAATAATCTTGTTGTATGTTTAGCAAAATGTTTTAGTTAGGTGTGCCACTATAGTTAATAAATGACAGAGAAAGGAGATAAAGAATAGAGAAAAAATGAGCTGAAAAAGAGGAAGTAAAGAAAGAGTAGGCAAGGAGAAAAAGATGAACGTATGTGGAGAGTAGGAGACAATTAACAATAAAGAATTACACAACAAATATTTGTCAATAATTATACCATGGGTTAGATGTCTTGTATTATCCCGTTATGTAATTTATTTTTAACAGTAAAAACAGCTTAGTACAAATATTAAATCTGTATATTTTTCCATTATAAAAGTTGATTTTTAACATCAACTATGTAGATTTATCTGATGTGATAATGTGATTATAAAAAGGCATTTTTAAAGGTGTCTCTTTATCATTAACTGTATAGCCCAGAATAGAATAAAAATACCTTCTCCCTTGCAGCAGCCTGTTTTTCACGAAGGTATTTTTCTCTACAGCGATCACACACGAGATACCAAGTGCTTCCTCCTATGCCACCATCACCACAGTTACCAGCCCATCCTCCACAAAAATGCCCAATGCTATTGTAACCTTGTCCACCAGCATACCGGCCACAACCTTGAAACAATATAAAAAATAAATATTTAATACATTCAAAAGTCTTATAGTTTGATCGTTACTACTCATACACTAATGAAAGACTTACCTTTACAAAGCAAGAACAATACTGCGTCAAGTATCTGATTTTTTTTTTCCAGGCTATTAACTAATCATAAAAATACCTTACTTGACCAAAAAATAATCAATTAAATGAACCCAAAGATTAGAGGGACTCTATTTCTATACAGGCTTATTAAAAGAAACATAGATATGAGTACATTTATAGTTAAGTATGTCAATAAAAATAGGCAAAATAAGTAGAAAATATTCTAAAAGATTGACATTTTCAGGAATCACAGATTAAACATTTGAGGTGTTATATGTAGACAAAGAAAAAATTTAACCAAATTTGTATTAGGTGAACCAAGAATATCAGACAACGTTATAGGAATCCTTATTTACAGAAAATTCAGTTTGCTGATACAACAACTGACATCACTTCCATTGGAAAATTACCAGAGAAATCAGTATAAATCAATTTAATTTGCAATTTAATTTGAACAGGGAAACACTAAAATCAAAGGATATGCCTTGTGTGTACGGGCATGCCATTATTTTTATTGGGTGAGACACCTTAATGGCAACCTTTGGGTAGCACATACAATATTTCAAAATGTGCTACATTCAAAAGAAATAGTACTAAATGCCTGACCACTATACTATTAAAATTTCTTTACCTGCTTTCCACAAAATCTATATTGATAATACACTTTTAGAATGACATTCTAGGTTACTATAAACTCTGCATAGCAGTTTCCCTATACTGTGGCATAATTCATATATGGCCTAAGTTAAAAGTGACCTAGTTCCTTAAATAAAAAGGTATTTATTACATATAAAAATATATCCAACTATATCATTTACCTGGGTGAGCTTGTCTCATGTGATAGGTCACTGGGTACGGATGTGATTCGCCACATAGCTCACAGATGGTATCTTTCTCTGGTCCGCCTACTGCCAGCTGGGCCATTTCTCCAAACAAATTACCCCTGGGCCTAACTTCCGCCTTTTCTTTTTTCTTTTTTTCCTTTTTGGCCTTCTTATTCTCTTTCTCACACTCTTTCTTTTTAAGTACCGCACAGGAACCAGGACTTGGAAAAATCATATTCTGGGAAGCAGCTTTGATAGTAGCCAAAGAGATGTCTTCCCAAAAAGCCACCAAATGTTGTAAAGTTAAAGGAAGAGGAGATTTAGATTTCATTGTGTGATGCATGGACATTTCAAAAGTGGTTTCAGTTTTCCCATCCTCACATTTTTCATGCAGAGGTGGTTCCTTAAGCATAGACAACACCTTATTTTTGTTGATGCTACCCATCTTAGATATATCTGGTCCATGAGGTGCAATATTAAACATATTCAGGGCAGATGATATTTCCAATGAGTGTCTGTTTTTTAACTTGGTTTCCTTTTCCTCTGTAGGCTGTTGGCTATTTAAACTACTTCTTATAGGAGCATGTTCTTTGGAAAGTTCAGGATTAAACTTTAGGAAAGAAGAACAAGCCATTGCATCATGTACTATACCTTCATGCCACAGGAAGGAGGCAAAGACCGCTCTGGCACATTCAGCCACGGAAGGAGACATGGCTTGCTTGGCTGGCTCTAAAGGTTTGGATCCATCTCCTTTGAAAAGAAAACTAGATTTTTCTTTCTTGGGCCTGGTGTGTCTATTAGCACATTTCCGACTTATTTTGGGGGATGCTCTCATTTCCTGTTCATCTTTCAGTGGTGCTTTTCCTATGCTGAAATGAACTTTACTTGAACCTTCATCCACACTCTTAAATTCACTGCTTTCATCACAAGTGCTATCTGTTAGACTATTTGTTTTTAAAGTACTTGAGGTACAGACTTCAACCACTTCACTGTGGAGATTTTCCTGTACCACATGGGGAGAGGGAGCTCTGTTTTCAGATCCAGGGGAATCTGCAGAATCCTTTGGTACTGATTTTGGTTTTGGTGATGTTGACCGTCCCCTTAACGGTTCCGTGAGGGGCATTTTCTTCTTGCGGAGGGTGTCTGGATCAAGTGTATAAGAGTCTGATTTGGAACGTTCCCGAGGAGGATCAAGTTTTGTCTTAACAGGAGCAGTGCTTTTTTGAGGTAGATTTTTATCATGTGGTGAGGAGGAACGTGGAGAACTAGCACCTGATGGGCTAGACCTATTGGCTGGGAGAGTCTTTGGCTTAGGAGATGACGACCGAGAACCTGGTCCTGGGGATTCTGCTCTGAAGCTAGAAGACATTCTCCCATCAGTTTTCAGTGTCTGCAAGGTATTATGGTTGGGTGACAAGGACCTACTATGGGAATCTGACCTCAACTTTGCAGCGTCAGATTTTAACATGAGGGATTCACTAGCAGATAAACTTTCTGTACCCCTTGGTTTCTTCTGATCAGCAGTAGTCCGGCTCATACGTCCATCAGGTTTAAGTGATCTGCTGTGTTTAGAGGACAGTTCTGATTTTCCTGATGTAGAGGCTGGTCTAGAAGATGTTGAGATATTTCCTCGGTCACCTGTATGGCCCATTTCATAGTGAAACTTGTTAATAAAATTATAATTTACTGACAATTTAGTCACTAATTGTTGAAACAAAAACATAACTTCAAAATTTATATTGCCTGTCATACACAAAAATACTTGAAGAATAAAGGAAAAGAGGGGAAATATTTCTCATAAAATTCTTACATACAGCCATTACCACTAAAAACTACTTTCCTGGAAAATAGTCTCAAACAGACTGAATAATATCTTTGCACCAGTATGAATTATCAGTGATACTGAACCTCAGCCCTAAGACAAAAACTAATTTAAATTTAAATTTAATAAGAGGCTAGAAAGAGAAAAAAAAAAAAAACATAACTATTTTTTGAATAAAAAGCTATGAAAACATGTATTTTAAATATGAAGTAGTAGAGTGATACCTCACATCCTTAGGGTAATGGTAGATTTTTTTTGAATTATAAAACTAAATTTATATACACATTTCTTATTTTCAAGTGTATAAAATAAACACAATTAGGCTTAAAAGAGCTGCTTAGAAAACACTGTATTTATGATTGAATTAGAATAATTTATAATTAACACATAAATGCCCTAAAGCTATACATGTAATTCAGATACTTTACGATTTATAAACAGGTTGTATTCGGTAAGCTTAGCTGGTTAGAACTCAGAACCTGTGTCACCTTGAAAACCGAAGAAATGGTATGTTCCTCAAAATGAGTAGTACAGGTCTGAATTGTGAGCTCTCAAAACAAGGGGTCAGGAGAATGATAGAAAAGAGGATAAAAAGAAGGCCTGTCTCCCATTTCACGACAAAGCACTGGATATTTCTCCTTGGATACCATTTGTTTTTGGCATCCTGGCCTTCATTCAATGTCTCTCCTTCCTACTATTTTATACTGTCCTTTGAGGCAGTAGAGCCAAGGGTATTTTTGTTTTAAATTAGTGGTACAAACTTCAGTGTTAACTTTCCTCCTTAAAATTAAAACTCATACTGTTAGTGCAAGTGATATTAGGTTAGCTGCTAAGAGAAAAGCAATTTGACTGAAGGGATTCAAGTGGTATGAAAAAACGAAAGCCCATAAATCTTTCTAGAAGAATTTACATTTTTTGAGAGAGGGTTTCTACAAAATTGAGATGAACTTGCTAACTGGTTATAATTTTAGTTCTTTCTTTTCTTTCTTTCTTAGAGCTATGAACAAATTTGGATGATGTAGGAAAATGTATTTTTGCTTGCATATGTGTGTGTGTTAAGTGTGTACAGTCATACTCTAGTTTCACATTCTAGTGCTCCACTTGTCAGGAAATCATTGCTGTTAGAATCTGCAGAATCATCTTCATGGAAGGTCCTCAAGGGCAGGTAATTTTGTCTATTATTTTTATTGTTGTCCTAGTATACAGTAGGTCCTAGTATACAGTAGGTGCTCAATAAATATTTATTGCTTAGAATAGGTCCTAGTATACAGTAGGTGCTCAATAAATATTTATTGAATGAGTAATAAATTCCTATTCTCTCATTTAAAAAATTTTATTATTCCAAATTTTTCAGATACTCTGAGAGTTCACTTTTTACAATGATGGCTCCTAAGGCCCCAGGGCTGAGGTGACAGTAGTCAGTGTTGTAAAAGGGTTAGATGTGAGTTGGGTAATTGTATAGTAAATTAATAGAGCATAGCAAGTAGCCTGTTTAGGACATACTAATGAATTAAATATTCATTTTAATTGCAACATGTCAATGCTTTGGATAATTATTCTTGTTCTTTGGATAAATAAAATTAACTAAATTAAACATATTGCTCTTCAGTGTCTCAATTCTATCATGAATTTCCTTTATCATATATGTGCCACAAATGCTGTAAGAGCTTAGGTTAAATTTTGGAGGAAAATGGTGAAAAAAAATCATAAATATGGAATTCTAGATATTGATGCTCTCTTGGGAGAACACAGATAGCAAACAGCTGTGATCCTGATAAACAAGTACTCTCAGAAGGTTCAAAAGTAGTTTAAAAAAATAGTTGCCCATTTCTTCTTATTGAACTAGTAATAGTATAAAGCAAATTTTATAAAAAATTGTATTTGGTAGCATTAGACATCAGTCTAGTCATGATAATGTTCAGTAAGTGGTATTTGGAGTATTAGTTTTTTGCTATTAAGAGTTGGAAACATTTTTAATGCCTTTATCATCACATTTATTTCAGAAGCTGAACCATACTCAATAGGGAAGCTAGACAAATAGGTAGTAAATCTTTTATAGTTGGTACCTGTCTCTCCAAAAAATCAGTTTGTGAACTGAGAGAGGTTTTCTCTCTAATTTACAAAAAAAAAGGACTTGTTTTAGAATTCCTAACAGAACGGAAAGTTACTAACAAGGATTATCTACTACCTGTTTTATATGTGTCCTAATGGCTGACCTGCACATCTGCATGCAAAGGAATGGTGAATACAGGCTGATGCTACATCTAATTCAGCAGTTTTTACATTCACAGTGGTAGGTATTTCCTCATAGTGGAAATATTCTCTGTGGCTGGTTGGACAATGGAATCTGTTAAATACAGGAATGCCACTTGTGATACATGAGCAAAAAAGTTTGTTAATCAGAGAGTGTTAGAAAGCATAAATATTTGTATATTTCATTCTTATATTTCTAATAGTGGCAAATATTTTCTTAAGACCAGTAAATGGTGATAGCTAAACATCTGTTGCAGTTCAAGTACATAAATAATGGCAGAAGTATTTCTTTCTGAGATGTATTTTTCAAATTATAATTAATTTTTTGGAAAAATTTATTTTTAAAATATATATATTTTAAAAAAGACTATGTTAAGTTTGTTAAGTGAGGTAAGCCTATGTGCTAACTAATTTATGCTTATCTATTTTTATTTGGGCTTGAAATATTTTGCAGCATGTAATAAATATTAAAAATTGTCATGTTAGGTTGCTCAAAATATTAATAAATATAAACACTTCATCAAAAATCTTCAGACTATACATGATACTTTCACAATCATCTCTCAATTTAGTTTGATGATTATACATATACTAGGTAAATTTAAGTGATAAAAGGCAAAAATTTTTCTAACCTCAAAGGAATCCTGAAGATATAATACTTATAGGACAAGAACAAGAATTTAGTGCATTCAAAAAAATTAAATATAACTGAACATGTTAATTGTTAAGTATGCATTCGCTAAATGACTTGCATGATTTTTTAAATGCCCAAATCATAAATTATCAGGTTGTATATTATAATGTACCATATTAAAATATTATACTGTAATATATTGTAATACATGACAGGTTACACGATACTATAAGCTACTACATACAATACTATGTCCTACTATGTCTTTACATACTATATCGATCAGGTTATATAATACTACTTACTATAGTTTATGTTCTGTTTATATATTTACTTCATACTGTCAATTGTTCAAAGGAGAAATATAAAACTGCCTTACCCATTTCTAAGAAAATAATTGGTTACTTGAAAAACTTGTGCATTATAAGAGGGGGGACCCAAGAATACATGCAATTTACTTATAAAAAAATTGTGTATTTATTCTTACATGTTTAAACTTCAGTCACTTTCAAAGCACTCTCTGTTTGACAAAATACACCTATCGAGGTGCTTTTTCCACTGCTCAAAACAGTTTTTGAACTAGTCAATTTTGGTGCCTTTTGGTGCCTGTGTTTTTTGTTTTCACCTCATCCACATTGGGAAAATATTTCCCTTTAAGGGCTTTTTTCATCCAGGGAAACAAAAAAAAAAGCTGCTCAGGGTGAGATCAGGTAAATAGGGAGGGTAAGGCACAGAAGCAATGCCATTTTTGGTCAAAAACTGCTGAACACTCAGTGTGGCACAGGCAGGCACATTGTCATGCTGGAAGAACCAGTTACCTGTTTGCCACAACTCAGGATGTTTCTCCCACAAATCATGACGCAACCTTCTCAAAACTTCCAGATAAAAACTTTGGTTGATCATTTGATCCAGAGGAACAAATTTTGAGTGTACTACAAGGGGCTCGCCCTCCAAAAGATAATTCCAGTTTCTTGGGGGATCCCCCTCATATTAGTCATTGCTACAAAAGTTTTTGATACATTTTCTCAAAACACAAGGTTTTAAAAGTTTAATTAAATATTACTTTAAGGTAGAAATATGTGAGTAGGCACCTATAGATCTTTTAAAAGACCAAAAATGTGTGCGTGAGCATGTGTTTGTGTATTTGAGTTGGGGGTCTCACCCAGGCTGGAGTGCAATGGTACAATCACAGTTCACACACCACAGTCTACTCTCCTGGGCTGAAGGAATCCACCCTCCTTAGACTCCCAAGTAGCTGGGACTACAGGCACATGCCACCATGCCCAGCTAATTCTTTTTTTTTTTTGAGTTGGAGTCTCACTTGGTTGCCCAGACTGGAGTGCAGTGGCCACTCCCGGCCACCGCAGCCTCGCTTGCTGGGCTCCAGCAATCCTTCCGCCTCAGCCTTCCGAGTAGCCGGAATTACAGGCATGCGCTACCATGCCCGGCTGATTTTTTTTTAATTTATTGTAGAGATGAGATCTCGCTGCCCAGGTGGGTCTCGAACCCGCGGACTCAGGCAATCCACTCACCTCAGCCTCCCAAAGGCACGGGATTACAGGCTGAGCCACCGAGCCTAGCTGCCCAGCTAATTCTTAAAAAAAAATTTTTTTTGTAGAGACAAGGTCTCACGATGTTACCCAGTATGGTCTTGAACTCCTAGACTCAAGTAGTCCTCCCGACTTGGCCTCCTAAAGTGCTAGGATTACAGGCATGAGCCACCATGCCTGGCCCAAAAGCATATTTTTAAACTGCCTAAAATTCTGTCAACTGTCAATAGTTTAAACATTTCTAGGATTTAATACTAAGTCACTAGGAAACTACTTTAGGAAGATTCATGCCAGACAGTGCAGGGGTGTGTGTGTGTGTGTGTATGTGTGTGTGTGTAATATAATATGCACACACACAAGTCCTAATAACTACATTAAAATACAAAACTTTAAGTTAATTATCAAAATGTTTCTCATAAAAACCCAAAATAGCAAAAAATTTTTTTTTACATTATGTAACAAGTAAATAAGTTTAAGATTAATCCTATGGCGTGATATTCTTACAGGTCACGATATCTTTCCACCTTATACATATATCATCTTCTTCTGAGAATGACTTTAAGAATTCCCCCAATTAGGCATTTCTTTCTATGTACCTACTTTATTTTTTAAACTCTTATAAAGGTTTAAAATTAAATAAGTAATATTTAACTTACAGATATAATAAATATGCATAGCAATTACAATAATCTATACTAATTACTGAATTGAAACATCATAAATTACCCAAATACATAAAAATGTTTAAATGATAAACTTTAATTTTTAAAAATGGAATGGGGTGAAGATGACTGAGGTGAACTAAAATTTCTTTATTGACACTTTCTACATTCATTAAGAATGGCCCATCCATGGATGCATGTATACCCACCCTTGAGTTTGTGAGACAGAGATGAGAGAGCAGAGGCAGGCCCAGCTACACCATAATTTTTGTAAATGCGCTCACGAGAAGCAAGGTTGCGAGATGGAGATTCTACAGTGGAAAACATTGGCAAAGAAGCAGCACAGATTCAATGGAAAAAAAAATTTAGCAGAGAACACAAGCAAAAACAAAGCATTTCAAATGATATGCAACTATAAACTGTTATTTCAAAGTTTATATTCTGCTAAATTTTTCAGCTAGCTTTTATTACTCTAGAACTAAAAACAAAGGTCAAATGAATTAAGATTAATAATATGTCCATGTATGTGAACTTAAAAGTCCGTAAGGCTCATAGCTTTGATAAATCAAATTTGAGCATTTCCTTTTAGACTAATATTCCTTTAGCTCAATTTTATTTAATTTGGTGTTCATTTACTTATAAATAAAGGTTTATAAGTAATTTTTTTAAAACAGAAGATAAATGTTACTTACAGTTGACAAACCTATTGTCATTTGGTTTTCTGCATGTACACATTACTCTAATTTTCTAGTATGTATCTCAGACATTTATGTATGACTGCTTTTCTGAATGATCTTTAGCAATATTTAGTGCTTATTTTGTAGATCCTACCTCTGAGAGATCAAATTTTGTTTATAAAGTCTTACAACACAAAGCAAATAAAATTTACAAGTCACTGAAAAATGTTAGACATGTCAATGATTTATCATGCAGAAAATGAAGTACTTAATATTAAATAATTTTTTTCAAAGAATTAACAAAACCTTAGTGTCATCTTTCAAAAACAAGCTGCAAACATCTCCACATGAACCTGGAAAAAACTCATTGTATATAAAATGTTAACTCATGGCAACTAAAGCAAAATCAGTTTGCTGAAATAAATTTAGTTAATAAGGAGGTAATATTTTAATACTTTTGAAATAAAAAACTTGATACAACACACACATTTCTTAAAATAATAAAAGTACTGCTTTTGACTGATTCATTATTACAACCAAGATTAAAGATGAACGGCTTATAAATTAAGAAATCATTTGATGTAAGTATCGAGTTTATATTATGTGTCAGACATCATTCTAGGCATTGGAGATACAATAATGAAGAGAAACGAAGTCCCTGCTGTTGTCAAGTTTATATTCAGGTGAAAGAAGAGAGAGAATAAACAAATAAGTATACACTGTATCAGGTGCTGATAAATTTGGGAGTCATATGTTTCCAGATGCTGGGTAATACTGCATGACAGGACACCACCACAGGGAGTGACACAAGAAGAGGTCAAAGCCCCAGGACATTCCTGGGAAGATAGAATAGATGAGGATGCAGAAAGGTGACCAGAGGTGAGCAGAAAGTGACGCAGAAAATATCCAGCAGGCAAATAAAAGTGTTTCTAGGAAGAAACAGAGATCAATTATGTCAAATACTCCTGACAGACCAAGTAACATAGGATCTTAGAACTGACCACTGAATTTGGCAACACAAGCGTCATTGACTCCAACCGTTTCTGTGGATAAGGACTAAAGATCAAATGCAGTGGGTTCATGAGGGAGTAGGAGGATTGGATAGAGAGACAGGGACATGCATATCATAAAAACCATCTTAACCCAAGTTTCTAAAATGTTAAATTTTTAATATTTTTGAGCATACTTTGTTTTGAACAAATCTATAATCCCCAAAGATGTCTGGTGCTATAAAAGGAATTCTTGTGCTATTTAATTATCATAGAATTCAGAGTCTGCAGCTATCACGGAAACTATCAGTTCAGAGGGTATTATGTTTCTCTTCAAGAGATGTACTAGAAAGGTGGCAGTTTCCGAATGGAAGAGTTAATTCACAGGAAGTTCAACCTGCCAATGTAGGAATCTAGCCTCCTAGCCTGGCTGCTAAAATCTGTGAAGACCAAGTTTGCAGGAGAACACAGGAGCAGAAAACCAGAAAAATCCATCGTAACTGGAAGCACTCATAAGCATAAATGTGAAAAACTACAAGGACACTTGTAAGATAAGTTGTTAGAGATTTAAGGGCAAATTCCTGCAAAAGAGTTTGGAGAAAAAATGGCCTTGAGTCAATATGTTACAAAGCCTAAAGTGATTGAATTCCTAGGTATAATTTAGAATGAAGAAAGAAGAAACATCTTTGAAATGAAAGTCTAAAAAGTGTTCTTGTTAAATGAAATTAAGACATGAAATTAAAGGAAAGTTTTCACTGGAAACAACACTTATTCTACACATTACATTTCTATAAACTCTGCTCATGTTTTAACATACTTTCATAAAGTTACAGTTAGTTCTTAAAAATATTTATATTTCACAATGTTCCTGAGCCATCAAAGAGCCTCATCAACAACTACTCTCCCTGATCTGACACAGGCAATTTATAATGTTGTGGCAGGGGCTGGTCAGAAAGATGGTGGCTGAGCCAGTCGGATTATGTGAGTCCCTGTGAGTGAGTGTATGGAAAATTTTGTGTATGCGCTGGTGAGTGAGTGGGCGTGTGAGTGGCTGACTGAGTGAGGGCTAGGGAGCTAACAGCCAGGGCTCTCCTGGTGCAGCAGCTGGTGCCACAGTGGCTGGGCTTGGACCCTAGCAATTCCCGGGACACAGAAGCTGAACACTGTTTTCTTTCTTTCTTTCTTTTTTTGTAAATCAACAAACCCTTCCTGGGAAGAAAATGCTGGGAGACACTGTCTAAGTGGGGACTCATGAGCAAGTGTCCAGGCCCCTGGTGCAACAGCTGGTGCTGCAGCTTCTCTGCTTTGTCCTTGGCTTTTTTCCCTGGACACAGAAGCCATTGTTTTTTTTTTTAACGGACAAAAGTGACAGGAGAAAATATCCTCCCAGGCTCTCCCCCACTGGTGCAGCAGGAGAGAGACTGCCAGCTCCTGGCTTTGCCTCACCTCTTCAGTGCCTGGCAGGGCACTGGCAGCAGGAGCTGTGGAGGGAGCCCAGAGGCAAAGTTCCACGGAAGAGGACAAGAGAGGCACCCCACCACCATCTTGAAGGCAGGGAAGGAAAGTGCTCTGACTTGCTCACCACGGAGCAACAGACCCAATCTCTGTAACTGGCGGAACAACTACTCAGGGATTGATCGTGACCCAGAGGGATTATCCTAAAAGCACAAACTTTGGAAAGATCTGACAAATGCTGAGTTCCAGGTGCCCAAACCCCTACCTTGATCCAGCCCTGGGACAAAGGGTGTGGCCAGAAAAGGACAAAGAAGAACTCCAAAGAGATCAGTGGTGAGTCCGGGGCTGACCCAAACCCTTATGTCCTTAGTAATCCTCTGGATGTCAGACCTACACAGCTGGGCTACCAATGGGAAGGACAAACCCAGGCAAAGCCTGGACATCAGTCATAATAAGAGAACTCCACTCCAGGATAAGCCTGGCAGCACACGATCACCCCTTTGAGTAAATACCTGGGGAAGAGACAATCCCGTATCTCCCCATCAGAGGAGATCTCCCTGACATAAGAGAGTGGGAGGGGAGGACTACAGCCCCACACACCTCCATTGCCCCTCCTCCATCCCTGCTTCAGACACTGAGGAGAGAGTGAAAGAGGTGGCTCTGTTGGAGAGCCCTGATTAGAGGAATAATGACAGAGCTTGCCACAAGAGAGCATGGTTTTTTTCTTTTTTTTCAATTTTTAAAAAAATTTACAAAATTTTTTTGACTGTTTATTAATTCATCTATTTTACAAATATTTTTTCTTTGTGCATGAATGTGTATGTGAGGGTTTGATCTGCTGCCCCCCCAATATTTTTTCTTTTCTTTTTCTGTTTCTTTCTTCTTTTACTTGTCATTTTCTGTTTATGGGTGTATGTGAATGATGAGCGTTCATCTTATTTTGTTGTTGTTGTTGGTTTGTTTTTGCTCTATGGTTCTGGGGATTTTTATTTTCATTTCTTATAGTTTAAGGTATGTGTCAATATATGTGTGAGGGTTCAACCTGAATTCCATTTTTTCACCCCTCTGGTCTTTCTGATTTTCTCTCTATTCACTTTATGCTAGGCATGTGTATGTGTGTGTGTGTGTGTGTGTGTTTAGTTTTCTTGGTTTGTTGCTGTTTTTGTTTGTTAGGTAACAATAGGTAACTTTGTCGTTATTCCAGTTTGTTTTGGGGTGTGTGCATATGTCTGTGTGTGTGTTCAATTATTTTTTCCACTGACTTCTGCTTTGCATCATCATAAAGAGTGGGTAGTGGGGAGTTGGTCTCAGGGAACACATACCAAAATAAGTGAACATTGTAATTTGCAAGTAGTTTCTGAATCCTAGCATCCCACCTCTACTTTATTTGAATTTCAAAAACTACAAGAGACAGCAAGGCTTCCCATCCACCATCCTATTTCAGAATAGAACAAATCCAGAGTCTGGATCAGGGAAGAATAGAAGACTGAGTAAACATCAAAAGGGAAAGCCTCTCCCACTGACACTGAATAACAGAACTAAACAGAAAAACAGGAGATCTATCACAAATGAGGAAAAATCAAAGGAAGACCTCAGGCAATTTCTAGTGTACCAAAGACAAAACTCCTGAAAAATCAGACCTGGGTGCCCAAACAATGGAAGACATCAACAACTGACCCCAGAATATGACAGAGATTAGGGAATGGATGGAAAGAGTGAATATGACTCAAGAAAGATAAGATACAACACTGAAAGAACTTGTAACAGAAGTTTAGGCAATAAAATATTTCATCCAGGAAATAAATAATATGACAAGCATGGAAAGCAGAATTAATCTAGCTGAAGAAAGAATCTCAGAACTTGAAGACCAGAACACGGAATTAACCCAATCTGTAAAAAAACATAGAAAGATGACTCAGAAAGAAAGAACAAAGCCTACAAGAGATGTGCGATTATATCAAGAGGCCGAACCTATGCCTGATTGTTATCCCAGAAGAAAAAACGAAATGAAGAACAACTTGGAGCAAGCATTCCAGGAGGTAATCCAAGGAAACTTTCCCCATCTCACCAGAGATATGACCAGCCAAGCACAAGAGATACAGAGAACCCCCACAAGACACTAAATGAGAAGACTAGCCCCTAGACACATAGTAATTCGCCTACACAAAGTAGGCACAAAAGATAAAAATC